GTCACCTTGTTTCCAAGACTTAGTTTTGGATGACCTCCTATTTGGTACCCGGCTTGTTACCCGGCTGTTTGGCACCCCGTTGTGTCGCCTACCCGGTCGTTTGGCACCGCGTTGTGCCGCCTTGTTTCCAGACTTAGTTTTTGGGAGCCAAAGTTCATACCAAGGGGTGGAGGCATCATCCCATTGTGGGGGTCACGGAGACGGGTTAGCCATCGTATAGAGAAGAAGGGGCTTGGCCACTTAGGCCCAAAAACCCAACCCAACAAGGCCTACCTAGCTCTTTTAATTATTAATGTTGAACTGACCTTATAAATCCATTAAATTTCTTGTAATTAATCGATGTGGTACAAGCTGATTTTTTATTTGTAAGCAGGCGTGAAACCCCTAGGCGAGGCATTTTGCCATTGCCTTGAGCTTTTGCCTTTTTGAACCATGATATATGCACATCGCTTAATCTTATTAGTTGTACATGTGCATTATCTAACTATGAACATTAAAAAAAAGGATTGGTTTTGTAAAATATATAAGAAAAAAACTATGAACATTAATCTCACTAGTCAATATTTGCTTTATTTTATTGCAAACTGTTCCTACTTATTGAGAACGAGTATCATCCTTCTTTGAGTTCTTTATTATTATTATTATTATTTTTTTTTGTTGTGATCCTTGTTTAGCTTTTAATCAAACTCAAAACAATATTATTTTGAAATTGTATTAGTAAGCTTACTGCCCCTAACTTTTAGAAAAAGGAAGAGATCGAACAATAAAAAATGAAGGATTTTGCAAATATGCCAATAATAATAGACATTAGATATAGATTAATATCATCAGGTCATCCGATTTTGTCATTAACCGTTAATCTACAGAATATATAATGCCAAAATAATGATTGGTTTTGCAGGGATTTGAATTTACAGCGATTTCCCGGAGGGGCAGTAATGTAAATTTACACCAACTAATTCAAACACTGTGTTTCACCCGTCCGTCCCTTCCGCGGGGCCTCAAACTCAATTCAATGGGCCAATCTTGGAGGACCGAAGATGGGGGCCCAATCTCCGTGGATGCAGGCTGCACCAGATGGCTTCGCTGACTCACTCACGTGCAAAACACTAAATTTACGAAAATTAATTCCAACTCTTGCGTTTTGAAATTGTCCCTGCAACAGTGCAACTGGAACTCAATTTGGATTGAATCCCATCTCTCTTCGGTCAGTTCAGCATTCTCACGCTACTTCTCTTTGGCGACGGCACCATCTTCCCTGCAAGGACGCAACAAATGATCAAATCATAATATCAGTTCAGCTCCTCGATACTTTGCATTCGACCCGCAACAAACGACAGCCATTCCTCGCTCTTCAAGAAGGCAGATCGATCCTTGATATTCTGCAACCGACCCGCAACAAGTGAGCTGTAATTTTGAGTCAGGCCCGTCAGGAGGGGAAACCTGCGGCCGACTCATCGACTTCCGGTGCAATCAACGGGACAATGTACTTTCATCGTTGTTTTTTTCCCATTCTTGCTCTAAATGTTCAACGTGGACACAAAATATAACTTCTCTCCCGATCCCGAGTTCTTCTCCATGGTTGATGCGAGCCATATTCAAGCCGCCAAAATTATATGTTTTTTTATTATAAGAGTGGCTTAGTACAGATATGGCTTAACTTATATGTTTTTTTTTTATATAAGAGTGGCTTAAATTATATAATTATGAGTTGCTCCCCAAATTCTGAAATTGTAATTGAAAAGGGTGAGAAACTAATGGAATAATAATTGCATTATTATGAATTTCCTTTGATAAATCTGAAATTGTCCATTGCTAAATTCGTTCACGGATTAATTGTCACTTTTACCTATATGTATTATGTATTTGTAGTATTTGATACTTTTATTTATGATGATTTTTTAATATGTTCTTGCTTACTACAGGGCAATCAAATATTTGTTCAAGTATATTAATAAACCACAAGATCGAGCAATTTAGATAATGATTGATCATGTCTTGGCGCAATGCGTTTATATTGGACATTTTTTTTTGGTATATGCCCCTAAGAAAAATGGTTATCATTCCAACAATGCATCCCTTTATTTTAGCTCATCACTTGCGACTTTCTCATCCAATGTTGTACATATGAAATATGATGTCCATGCCAGATTTAGTTGGTGAAGTTGACCATAAGGAACCAACCGTCGAACTATTTGAAGGACCACTCCATATAATCACAAAAACTGTGTACCTAAAACTGCTGGAGTGAGTCCTCTAACTTTTATCGTCATTTGATGTTCACTTGCATGTGAACATGCTCTAGCAAAATTACTTTACTTCCTCATACCTTTTAGGGAAGCTGTCATCCGAGTGGTGCTGAATGGATCCTTAATTCCTGCATTTGAAGCATTCATGCCTTATCAACCGCAATCAACGGCGGTATGTGTACTTACTTCAGTATATGTGGAGAAAACCATAGGTATTCTTGCTAAACGGGTTCATTTGGTGTTGCACAATCTGATTTATGTTTCTCCCTTATAAGAACAACATCTTTTCTTCACTAAGCTACCTCTACATTTTTAGGCAAGTATTACTTCGCGTCATCCTCAGTAACCAAGTTATTTTTCAACTTGAATCAACCTTTCTTGCACCCACTGCTAAACCCGTGAGTAAATTTACTTATGCAAAGAAGTTGTATACCTCCACATATACTGAAGAAACTTACTTCGCTATATTTAATTTATTATGCCAGACTAAGAAAAGTCAAATACATCATTAAAGATGACTCCTATTGAAGTTGCAAAAGACCGTGCAAAAATGTGATTAATTGAAGACCTAACCACATTGCGATTTCGTGGTCAATACATGATAATAAGTTTTCCAAAATCCATTTTTTCATCACCCTCTCTTCAATGCTTCCTACTAAGCATACATTGTTCATTATTTCAACTTATTTTATTCAAAATCTAACTTTTGTAGTGAAACTACTACATTGTTGCTAGTCATATCTGCGACATAAGAATCATTTGGGAATTCAACTGCACCTAATACATTGTTCAACTCACTATTAGTGACAATTTTTCATCATGTCCGGTATATTTCAAATCATACAAATTCAGATCGATTGCACGCTCTGTGATCAACAAAGATGATGTCTACTGGGATAAACACTATCGAGAGCTACTGAATTCTCTCAGAGACCAATCTTTTTCTTTCCTCCTGAGGGTTCATTATGTATGTTTTAGGGGAAGAACTCTAATCTTAAACTATATGGCCTTCTTAAGTAGTCAATTATGTATGGTTTTTTTCTTCTTTGAAAAATTATATTTATTTTGCGAAAACATATTTCTTATTTTATTATTATATTTTCAGCATATTATATGGACAAATTTTTTAAATTAACTTTCCTGGCCAACGAGGCGCGCCCAGGAGAGAGGATCCGGTGATTAAGGGTGGGTGCTTAGTCACTTGACTAAGCCCCTCCCAGCCCTTAGATCTAGACACATCAATCTGATGGTTAAAAAGTGGGAATGACTATTTAATTAATGACAGGGGTAGTTTGGGTATTATGGAAAATTACAAAGTATACAAACCGGACTTACAATCAGTACAAACCATACAAACATACGAACAGTACAAACTAGAGCGACAAAACATACAAACATATTTACAAACATTACAAACATATGAACGGAACAAAAAATACAAACTAGACAGACAAACAAACAATACAAACCATACAAAATGAAAAAACAACCGGGTTGACTTTGGAGGCTCCATCCCTATATAGAGGGGCTCCTTCCCAAAGTCAACCCGGGTGTTTTTTAGACATATAAACATTACAAACATGGTGGACAAAAATGACAAACTATACCACATACAAACTAGAAAAACACCCGGGTTCACTTTGGAGGCTTTATCCCTATATAGAGGGCTCCGTCTCAAATTTAACCCGGTTGTTTTTTAGACATACAAACATTACGAACATGGTGGACAAAAATGACAAACTAGATCGACAATCCATGCAAACTGGAAAAAAACACCCAGGTTGACTTTGGAGGCTCCATCCCTATATAGAGGAGTTCCATCCAAAAGTCAACCAGGTTATTTTTTAGACATAAAAAACATGGTTGACAAAAATGATAAACATGGTGCACAAAAATAACAAAGTTTACAAATATTACAAAAAAACCCGACAAACATTACAAAATAACAAAGCCTACAAATATTACAAAATAAACCGACAAACAGTACAAAGCATACTAACCGTACAAAATATCACTAAAAATGACAAACAATACAAACCGAATCTATACAAACATTACTAAATAGGTCAGCAAACATCACAAATTCAACACTGTCGCCGGGAAATTTTCTCTCTTTCTCTCTCTCTCTCTTCCCTAAGATGGCCACGCTGGATCATGGATAAATGCCTAGCCTCTCCCCCTCTCTCTCTCCCTCTCTCTCCGAGGAATAATTCCCCAGGATGGCCACGCTGGGATAATGAAAAAATGCCCAGGCGCGTTGGAGCCTCCGTTGGGAGAATGACCACCGGAAAAAAATATGCCGCCGGAGAAAAGGACCAGCTGCGTCGGAGCCTCCGTCGAGAGAATGACCACCAGAAAAAAAACATGCCGCTGGAGAAAAGGACCAGCCGCGTCGGAACCTCCGTCGGGAGAATGGCCACCGGGAAAAACCATGCCGCCGGAGAAAAGAATCGGCCGTCGAAGCGGGTGCCGCAGCAGTGAGTGGCGGCTTTTTTTGGTTAATTTTAATTATTAAATAAAAATTAAATAATATTGAAATTACTTCATTGTCCTTCATTAAATTGGATTAATTGGAGCCATTGAATTTTAATGAGGTGAAAGGATTGAAATCGACTTAGACAAATGATTAAGGGACCCCCTAGTCACCTGATCTTACCTGTGCTCAGTGCTAGTCTTTATTTAAAAGAAAAAATAAGACACTAAAAGAGAAAGAGAAAAATATACAATAATTAATTACAATCAAGGACAAAAGACGCTCAGGTTAAAATGAAAGAAAGCGAGCGAGAAAAGAAACAGAAAACCAAGATTGAAAAAAGACAAATAAAAAAAGTAGGATAAATAAATAACAAACTACTCGAAGAATAATAATAAAATGAAATGAAAAAATAAAGAAAAATACCTCCGAACCTTTCACCCCTCCTCGTCCCTCTCTCTTTGGTTCTTCTACTCTTCTTGACTTCATTCATTCCCAACCCGCACGGATTTCGCATCGTCTTTCTTCTTCTTCTTCACCGGAATTAGGGGTTTTCGTCCTTCGGTCGTCGGATCTTCTCTCCAGTGTAAGTTTAGTCTTCCCCGCTCAGTGCATCTCAAATTACCTTTACACTGTAGGCTGCTGCTCTCAGCTTGCTGATCATCTTATCCATTTCTCCCTTCTTGAAGCATCAGCACTGGCATTTGTCTGCTTTTCTCTCATAACCCGGACCATCTTTCTTTGAGGGTGCATTTGGGGTTGATTGATTCTTCGTACCTGGGTTTTTTTTATAGCTCAGTCTGACTTTTCGTGGCTCAGTTTGGTAGAGGGTTTTTGGAATGTCTGCTTGGGTATATCCGAAAGTGTTTCTTCGATTCGGAACTTAATGTTGAGTTTCTTATATCTCTTAGGGGTTCTGGGTTAGTCAATACTCTGATGTTTTGGTTTATGGGAAGTGACAATTGTACGTTTGTAGTGGTAGAATCGCCATTGGGTTTTCCGTTGTGATTCAGGCATCAGTAGCTAGGTATGTGCTCGAAAACGAGTAATGGTAGTGGAACAGGATAAGCTTTAGAAGCCGAGACTAAGCTGCTACCATGTCCACTAATCAGAAGCGGAGTGTGCTGTCCGTGATGTTCAGCCAGTGAGTTGGTAAATTGTTGATGCATGAAGGCCCGGCTGGTTGGTACTGTTGAGAGCTTATATGAATGGTAGATATTGGTAAACAAAGGGTAAAAACTAAATTGTAAACAAACTGATTCCCTGTTGTAGCATCGACATTACAGCATTCATTAAGCTTTTGTATGGCTTTTGCTTTGTTTTCTAGTTGATGTTTCGTGTTTTATTACAATGCCATATTCTGATGATCCTTGCTCATTGATGCAGTTTTCGACGTCCTTTCCTTGTTGGTATAGCCTGTCTTTGTGCCGAAAACGTCCATGATGCGACAGAGCTTTGGTCTCTGGTGCTAACCTGGTGCTCCTCCTCTTTACTTGTAAGTTATGTTAACTCATTATTCAAAAGTAGTTGGCTGTTGTTTCCATGCAGCATGGAGCTTGATGTTTTTTCCTCTTCCATACTATCTTTTGATGTAGTGTCTCAGGTAACTGAGCATCACAACTCCTCGAATTGGTTTGCATCTGGTATCAGCAAAGATCATTGTTGCATTTGAAGTCAATATGGATGATGGAGGACATCGTGAAAATGGACGACACAAACCAGATCAGTTCAAAGCATCTCAGAGTCAGGTATTTAGTAACAAATTTACTTTGGTTTATTATTCATTTTGGAACTCTGCGAACGAGTGTAGATGCTGTTATTTTCCTCTTATTTTTTATTGCAGTGGCTGATGCAACAGCCAACCATGAAGCAAATCATGGCAATCATGGCCGAACGAGATGCTGCAATCCATGAGCGAAACATGGCCATCTCAGAGAAGAAGGCAGCAATAGCAGAGAGAGATATGGCGTTCCTTCAGCGAGACTCGGCTATTGCTGAGAGAAACAATGCCCTAATGGAGCGAGACAGTGCCATTGCCACCCTCCAGTACCGCGATAACTCTCTCCCTAACAGTAACAGCATGTCTTCTTCCTGTCCATCAAATTGCCAAATCTCTCGAGGTGTGAAGCATATTCACCACCCCCAGCATCATCTCCCCCACATGCATGAGATCCAAGGAAATGATTCCCCCCTCCCGACTTCTTCGCCAGCTATCATTCCAGAGACAGCAAAGCCCAGGCGTGGCGGTGGCAAACGACCCAAGGACCCCACCAAGGCGATGGGCTCCAATAAAAGGTCCTCATCGAAATCAAAGGTGAAAAAGGAGAGCAACGAGTGGAAGACGGAGCAGGATATGGGCATGGGAGATGGTGAAGATTTGAACGATAAACAGCTTGTGGTATCGAACTGGAAAGGGTCGGATCTCGGGTTGAACCAGATTGCATTCGACGATTCAACCATGCCTGCTCCGGTTTGCTCGTGCACGGGAATCTTCAGGCAATGCTACAAGTGGGGCAATGGAGGGTGGCAGTCATCATGCTGTACGACCACTCTATCGATGTACCCTCTTCCCGCGGTGCCAAACAAGAGGCACGCTCGTATTGGTGGGAGGAAGATGAGCGGCAGCGCATTCAGCAAGCTGCTGAGTCGTCTGGCGGCTGAAGGGCATGATCTGGCCCATCCAGTTGATCTCAAGAACCATTGGGCGAAACATGGAACCAATCGTTACATCACGATCAAGTAAAGATCATGGAATCCGGGTACAACACTTGTACTTCTCGGGGTATGCTCTTCTTGTGTGTATCCTTCTGAGGCACACTAGTTTTATGATCATAATGCTGTGTAAGGAAAGCAATAAGCAGGGGGTACCATAAGAGCGGAGGAATTAGGGTAGGCAAGGTGTCCTCCCAACGACTTTGTTCGAGCCAAGTTTTTCTGTACTGCGATGTTGTGTATGGTGTAGATGCAGAAAGTATGTAATGGAGACAGCGTACTACTGTACCTGAAAATGAGGGCGATAATCATGTATCTGTACAACTCTTTGTAGCTTCAATTGTAAATGTACCTCTTCTCCTCTCCCATTGGCATGTGAGTGGAATGATGTTAAAAGATGTATGCATCTGTTGTTTAGCATTCAATTTCAACTGTTTCTGGAGTTTTCGAAAGCAATGCATTAGGCAGAGTAATGTCTATTTTTTATCAAAATTCTTTTATATTATTCAAATCTATTAAAATGTTATTAATTAGTCAAATTTTTCGTAATGTATCAAAAGATTAGTTATTTTTACATTATTGTTAATGATTTTGTAACTCTTTTCTTAGTTAAAATACTAATATTTTGAAATGTTTACCTTCATGTGTCTCTTCCAAGTCAATATTACTAACAAAATTGCTAACTGAAAGTTAACATTTGGCTAATTCTTAGTATTTCGATAAGTTTGGATAATATAAAGAATACCACTAGGAAACCCAAACTATTAACTTTGTGTCATTTGTGTCCTAAGTATCTGATATGACATTTGTGTCCCAACCTATGATAATTGTGTGTCATTTATATCCTGACGATTTCGTTGACCGTTATAGATGACGTTTGACCAGACGGAAGTCAACTTTGACATTTACTTTTGTTGACGTTGCAGCCACGTAGATGCCACGTCATTGACACCTCATTATTTAAATTCAAAATTAAATACGAACTAAAATAAAATAAAAAATAAAATAAAATAACTATCCACTCATCTTTTCCCCCCAGACCCGCCGCATCCCCTCACCCCTTTCTCGCCTGCGATACTCCCTCCCCAGCCGTTCAATCCCTCCGCCGGCGCCGCCCAAGGCTTCCTCCACCGCCCTCCCGCTCCCTCCTTTCCCCTAATTGAAGACCAAACATCTCTCACTCTCTCTCTCTCTCTCTCTCACTCAGGCTCCTCTCCAATCTTCAACTTCAAATCGTCCGCCGCAGTTGTTGCGGAATCCCTCCTCTGCATTTATCGTCTTCTCTTTCACGATGATGCCACAGCAGGGAGCCGAATCCATCCCGACCTCTGCTCCTTCTACGCCCAGGTTATTAAGCTACTGCTCCTCTATTCGTCATCTCCAAGCCGGAAAATCCCAAACATCGATATCGCCGTCTTCTCAACTAGGGGATAGAGACCCAAGCGTTGAACAAAGGAAACAAGGATCTACTGTGGCGATTCCCTCTCATCTCCTCTCCCCAGCCGCCGTCGCCAAACACCCCCTTCACCTTCGTCTCCTCCAATAGATCGGCCCAACCAAAAGCTCCACCATCAAACCCTCGATGGAACCTAAAAGAAGGCAATCCAATCGGGCGACTCTACTTCTTCCTTCAGTACTTTCGCCGCTATCATTCTTCCCACAACGTCGGCGTTGACGGTGGTTGAAGATGCCCCTGTTTCTTTCCATCTCACCATCGGGAAAGGGGAATGGCGAGAGCTTCACTTTCCTCCCAGATGTCGCTTCAATTGTCTAAAGGGCTTGCGGCGTCGGGAAAGAGGAATGGGCCAACATTTCAATTTGGGATTGTGACTCAAATTAATGAACCTGGGTTTCGAATTTCTCAGTCGAACAAGCACCGACTTGCAGAGAGGAAGTTCTGGCTGGAGGGAAGGAGATTGAAAGTCGCCGACTGTAGGAGAGGAGAGAGGGGATTGGAAGCTGAAGGGGAGCAGGTGTTTAGATTCTTTAGAAACTTCTCGCCAGCGGAAGGGAAGTTTTGAGACTATTTGATTATTTCTTCTAATTTTTTTATTGTTTTTATTTTTAAAATTAATTTAATTTTGAGTTAGAAAAAGGAATAAAAATCTAAGTCAAATGGCACATCAGCGCTGACTAGACTTTATGTTAAAAACTAACGGTCAACGCCAATCAACTCTAACGGAAAAATAGTTTAAGACAGAAATGTCATATCAGATACTTTAGGACACAAATGACACAAAGTTAATAATTCGGGGTTCCTAGTGGTATTTGCCCTAATATAAAAGAATCTGAAAAATATTTGGATAAAAAATAGACATTACCCAAAATTGTAAAATCATATTGCACTTTAAAAGAAAACTCGCTACATATTGCTTACAATTTTGATATACAGGTTATTAATGACCATCCAATTTGATCTTACGAGAGGCAATCCACTTCTATCAGTAAGAGCATCTCCATTGGAATTTCATTTAGAATTGCATTATGACATGACATTCATTTGCAATTACATTATGGAATTGCATTGATGTAGATGACAATTGCATTTTTGCAAGCTTGCATATAATGCAATTATGAGATGCAAGCCATATCATCTTTTTTTATTATTAAATTATTCATTAATTTGTTATTTGAGTGTTTATGTTTTATTAAACTAAATTAAAAAAATTAATTGCAATTGCATTGATGTAGTGCAATGAAAGTAATATGAGTTGGCTTGCAAAAATGGTGTTGTGTAAAAAAAAAAAAACCACAAATGCAATAGCTAATGAAATTGCACCAATGGAGATGCTCTAAAAGACTTTGCTAACATCTTTTTGATTGAGAGCTGCAACCTGCAGAGAAAGCCAGATGAAGTGAAACTTTCTATTTACAAAAAGTGCCATCGGAACCAAAAATTACAAGAGCAAAAATACTTCAGGTATCAATTAAGTATGAGAATTGGGAGAACTATACCTCTTAAGTTATAATAGAGTGTCGGATATCACTAACGTTATTGAATTGTACATTCGTTTACAATTTTGTCCGCCTACCTTTAACAATGAATAAAATATTAATTTTTGTCAAAAAATTAAAAAATAATGTAAAAAATGAAAAATTAAATTTTTTTGTCTGCCTCCCTCTACAAACCCTCACCTTTGCCCACCAAGACACTGACCTTTAGAGGTGGCAAATGGATTGGATTCATGGATAACTGGATCAAATAGATTCATGGATTGGATCAAGTGGATTGGTGAATTATCCATGAATCCAAATGACATTCTCAACCTTGGACCAATGTGTAAAAAGTGAATAGTTTAGGTACTAAAATGTCATAATGACAATTTTTAGGTACCAAAACATACTTTTCCAATAAGATTTTTTGTATAAAAATTTAAATTTTAGGTACCAAAATATAAAAAATAAAAGTATAGGTACTAAACTGTAATTTACCAATGATCCATGAATCCACCATTCCAATTGGATTTGGATCGAATGGATTGGATTAGTTGAATAATTGCCACCTCTACTGGCCTTGCAACTTCCTGATCCAATCACCGAACTCCAAATCTCCACTGCTCCTCCGTTATACTGTATCCATCTCATCTCAATTTATTAATTTAGAGTTCAAATCAAGCTAAGCAAGAATTTCTTACCAACTTCTATGTATCCCTGCAGTTTCAATCCTCTCTCATCATTTTTAGCAGTAGCTGCTATGGAGAAGGCATCAATACCTCTTGACTCACCGATATCGTCACACTAGAAAGTGGTCAAGTGTAACCACAAACTAATGCGTAGTATAACAGGTTTAGTTTTAATCATCAACGCGGGTTCTAGATGTGATGGCTACTCCGTGAAGTGTTTTTATCTAGCAGTTTGAATGTAGTGAATGTGTAACTAATCTAAGCAAGCACAAAGTAGTAAAGTTGTGATTCAAGTTCGAGAGAGGTCACCCAGATATGGTTCCCCCTAGAGTGCAGTTAAGCCGGATTGTAATTCACAAAGTTCAGATATAATGATAGTTATACTGCGGAAGGTTCTTAATCAGCCTGAAGTCTCGACTAAAGGTCTTCGGACCCTCCCAGTATGAATACCTGGTAGGCGATTAACCTCCACCAGAATAGACGAACTGAGTCCCTAACGTGCAAAACCTTATCTACTATATTAAAACCAGTACATAGTAGTGAATTGACTCCTCGACTAAAGAAGTCAATTCACCATCTTCAATTAAGGGTGCTCTACCAAACTATGCAAATATGCTCTTTCTATGTCAAAGCAGAAACTACAAGAATGTAATCAAGATTCATACAATTCTGAAACCATGCCTCAATTGAATATAATCAATACCAAAATATCATGTACTTTGGTTTATAAATCCAAACCTAACATAGAACTCTATGGTTCTTCATACCTAGGTGAGAGAGGGAGTTCACAACATAGAGAAAGGAGAGAAATCAGCTTCAGATGCAGAAATCATCGTGTGGAGGATGAAATTCAACTTTTGGTTACCAATCGGTACTTCTCTAGGCTTTAATCGAGCTCAAATGATGTCAAAACTCGATCTATGTCACCTTGGAGGTTGGGTTCGTACTTTCTCTCTCTAAAACTCCATTTTCAGCTCTAAACCTCTCCTCATTCTCCAAAATCCCGAAATTGGGTTAACCCAGATTTACCCGATTACACGGCCAGACCACACAACCGTGTAGAAATCCAGTCTGGCCGTGTAACTCCCAAAACGCGGCGTTGCACTTAGTTGGTTGAGGGAATTCACACGGCCATCATACATTCGTGTGAAATTTAGCCTTGCATGTGTAACTCTCCTAGAAAACCCACACGACCCCTTGCACGGCCCGTACGAGTATGGTTGCGTGATTCCAGTTACACGACCATACTGCACGGCCGCGCAAACTCATTAGTAAGCCGCGTAATTTCCTCAGCTTCCCGTCGAACGTCCTAACTTCGTCCAGTCGACCCCAGACTCGTGCTCAAGCCTTCGTTCACGTACTAGGACCTGAAATGTCACCAGCAAGAACAACCTAGCATGAAATCGACTTAAACATGAGAAATGAGCATCACATAATATAAGTATGGTGGACAAAAACTTGTGCAAATATCGAGTTATCACCTCTCTTTGTTCACACCTCATTCAAGCTTCCTTCCACGATCACATCATTATGATCGTCCGTAGACGGAGGTTTCGCCTCTAGAGCAATCGACCTTGGCGGCGGACTCCTCGTCTTCCAAACCGCTTCCTTTATCAAAATATAGTCCACCCAACAAGAAGGACCCGACAACCTCCGAACATCCTTCTTCGAACCGTCCAAATTGCCTCCATGATTCCATATGCTCGGTACCGACAACATGGTCGCGAAAACTCATTAGTAGGCCGCGTAATTTCCTCAGCTTCTCGTCGAACGCCCTAACTTCGTCCAATCGACCCCGGACTCGTGCTCGAGCCTTCATTCGCGTACTAGGACCTGAAATGTCACCAGCAAGAACAACCTAGCGTGAAATCGACCTAACACATGAGAAATGAGCCTCACACAATATAAGTATGGTGGAAAAAAACATGTGCAAATATCGAGTTATCACCTCTCCCTGTTCACACCTCATTCAAGCTTCCTTCCACGATCATCATTATGATCGTCCGTAGATGGAGGTTTTCCCTTTGGAGCAATCGACCTCGGTGACAAACTCCTCGTCTTCCAAACCGCTTCCTTTATCAAAATCTGGTCCACCCAACAAGGAGGACCTGACAACCTCTAACATCCTTCTTCGAACCGTCCAAATTGCCTCCATGATTCCATATGCTCGGTACCGACAGCTAGCCCAACGCTAACCCTAATGTCCACAGCAGGATCCTCGTTGGGAATGACGCCAATACAACCGCCGGCGATAAAGGAGCATTGAGGTCATCTCAACCTAGTTTTTATCAATATGCCAATGAAGGATCATGAAGAAGTTTTGGAGTCTGGTGATTGGATCGTGAAGTTGCAAGGCTAGTGCCCGCGGTGGGCAGTGGTGAGTGTTAGGAGACGGAAGCCGACAAAACTTTTCAATTTTTGTTTTTACTCTATTTTTAAAATTTTGACCAAAACATAATATTTTATTCATTGCTAACGATAGACGGATGGAATTTTAAACGGGTGTACAATTCAATAACGTTAGTGGTACCCAACACCCTATTCTTACTAGCTTGGACCCGGCTTATTGGCCAGAGTATATAAAATTTTCTTTTTATTACATAAATTTAGAGTTTTGTTGATGAATCTTAATTGAGATTTATTTTAATTTTTTTGAAGCTGTCGTTAATAATCAAATTTTAAAATATAATTTGAAAATGTTTAATTAGTAATGAATATAGTTAGCTATGATATGAAGTATTTCCATAAAGTATGATTAAAGTGTTAGTACTTAATTAGAAAGTTATACCATAAGCATTGAAAGTTGAAACAAAGACAAGATATATGTCATATGTACATTGTAATATATCCAACGAATAAAATTAACCATAATCCTTAAATTATAAACTTCGAACCTTAAAATAAACCCTTAGCCCCTGAGCCCTAATATGATTCCCGCTAATATTGTCCCTAAACCCATTGCGGCATAGCATCAAACATCGAAGTTCTCACCACCTAGTTACTATATATAAACATGAAGTAGTGTTACTGTTGCATATATATTCACATTTTATACCCAAATTTAATTAAATTACAACTTAGTTATTATAATGTACATTTTACATTTTGATACCCGAAATTTAATTTTAAGTTGTAGTTTGGTTACCGTTGCATAACAATGTACTTACTATATATAAACCTGAAGTAGTGTTACTGTTGCATAAATATTCACATTTTGATACTCAAATTAAATTAAATCACAACTTAATCATTATAATGTATATTTTACATTTTGATACCCAAAATTTAATTATATCACAACTTAGCCATTATAATGTACATTTTACATTTTGATACCCCAAATTTAATTTAATGTAAATTTACTGAACAATTATGTTTTGGTATCTACATTTTATGAGATTTTTGTACCTACAATTTAAAAATTTACATATTAGTCCCATGTTTAGATTTCACTTGAATCCATGA